TCAAACCCCAAGCAAAACCCTCACATATATCCTGTGGGTCTTTAGAAAGCAACACAATGGGGCTTATTTACTAAAGCTGGTTCACTCAGAATCTGGTGCACCTGTGCATGGTAGCCAATCAGCTTCTAACCTCAGCTTGCTCAATGAACTGCTTCAATGAACAGCACACATTTAACCCTTTTATTGCCCCTCATGTTAACCCCTTCCTGCCCAGTGCCATTAGTACAGTGTCAGTGCTTTTTTGTTTTAGCACTGATCACTGTATTGGTGTCACTGGGGATGTCAGTGACACCAAATCAGTTCCCCCCCAGTGTCAGAATGCCTGCCGCAGTCCCGTTATAAGTTCCTGATCGCCAGCCGTTACTAATAAAAATTATAAAAAAATCCCAGTACATAAACCACCATTTGTAAAAGCTATAACTTTCACGTAAATCAGTTAATTTACACGTATTGACATTTTTTTTTTAGCAAAGACATGTAGCAGAATACATGTTGGCCTAAATTTATGACGAAATTTGATTTTTTAAATTTGTTTTATTGGACATGTTTAATAGCAAAAAGTAAAAAATATTGGTTTTTTTCCTCAAAATTGTTGGTCTTTTTTATTTATAGCACAAAAATTAAAAAAACCGCACTGGCGATCAAATACCACCGAAAGCTCAATTCATGGGAAAAAAAGGATGTAAATTTCATTTGGGTGCAGCGTTGCATGACCACGCAATTGTCAGTTAAAGTAACGCAGAGCCATATCGCAAAAAATGGCCTGGTCAGGAAGGGGGGTAAATCCTCAGGAGGGCAAGCTGATTGGTTTCTATGCGGAGGTGCATGAAATTCTGAGTAAACCAGCTTTACTAAATAAACCCCAATATTTTGTAAACTACATTTCTGAGGTCCCAAAACAATTGAAAGACAAAAAACACTTGGCAGATACAGTAGACACAAATTAATGCAACTGTGTAATCATCAATATATGAATTTGAGCTTGTATGAGCACCTTGCAATTCCTGTATAGCAAAGCTAAAGTGTGTGAGGAAGTGGCAGCACAACAAGCCAATCAGTTAAGTATGCTGGTCGGAAGAGAAAGCAGAGTGACAGAAAAATTAGCTTATCAATGCGCCGCTTCTCCTTTCACTGTCCAGTAACCAGCTGGGACAAGTCCCAGATGATGTGGGCTCAGAGGAAGTAAGTTGAATGATGCTGGTCGTCAGATTGAGGACATCTAGCAGCAGAAAAAAAGTAATGTGGGGAAAATCTCTGCATTGAAACAGAATATTGCAGCAAAATATAGATTTGTTCTTTTAACTTTTAATGGGCTATTCATTTTACATTGATAATTTTTGGCTGGAATTCTGCTTTAAATGTTTAGAGTAAAGACACACTAACATTTGCTCATTGTTCATGATAGTAATCATTATTTCCATGCAGGGCATCCTTTTGAACTGGACCAAAGGCTTTAAAGCATCAGGGGCAGAGGGAAACAATGTGGTCGGACTGCTAAGAGAAGCCATCAAAAGACGAGGGGTAAGGGACAGTGGGCTCCATTCACATTCCATTTCCTCTTTAAAATTAAAATAACCTCATAGCGTTTTTTTAAAAAACATTTTCCCATTTGCAAAAAAATGCTACTCAAATAAGGCATTTGGTATTGCATTGAAATATGCAGTATTACCTTATGAAACTTTATTTTCTCTCATGCGATATCCAGTGGAATGGATACAGTGGAGAAGAATTAGAATCCCTGTCAGTTTTTACTGCTAATAAAAAGGTAAAATATATTAACTGTAGAAATATGCCAACTCTGTAAACCCAGCCATACACAGGTTGATTTCTGAAAGAATTTTTTTTCGAAAATCTTTTCTAAGAATTTTCTTTCAAATTTCGCACCATTAGTGGGTCACAGAAACGGCTGATTTTTGTGTGACCATTGAATTTGAGTGACCAGGCATGTTGGATATGTTTTGAAAAATGAACACATTTTGAATGAATGATGGGAGAAATGTGCAAGAAATATAAACGAAAAAGAAATGCTCATGAGCTGTGACCTGGAAAGAAAAGAAAATTCTTAGCCACGAAAATTCTTTTCTGTAGCAACAGGAGGTGAAATTGAAGGCTTGGTTGGTCGAATTTCAAAATCAATAATGGCACCATCAGATTACAAAGCGCACTAAATTATAGATTTTCTAAGAAAATTAGTTCGGAATTCGACCCGTGTATGGCCTGCATAAGTCAGTGCGATCCCTGCAGCAGATGTATTAATACAAAAGAAAAAAGATAACTAGACTACTAGTCAAAGGGAAGCTGCTTTCACAGGACACACATGGTGTATCAAAAACAACTACCGGTATGTTAAATTACATAAATACTAAATATCTTTCTAAAGTGAAATGACAAGAAAATCCCAAATTTGGGGTTGTTCCCAGAAAAAGTAATAGAAGGGGCATCTTCCAATGGGGACACATGGCTAAAAAATAAAAACTGCAAGAGGTGCTAACCCTCCATTACTCTATCCAAAATTAAAAAGAATGTTGTGCCTTTAGTTAAACTTTCAAGCAGCTTTTCTCAATCTTTTTCAGAGGAACCCTTGAAATATTTTTCCATTCTTAGGAAACCTATGCTAAAAATTACTATATCTACATCTCATGATACAATAATATATACAGATGGCTAAAAAGATCAATGATGTCAATGGGAACTTGTCAGTGGGAAGATATCTCTAAAAATAATTGTGAAAAAGTAAAGTATCCCCGCTACATATAAGTGCCAAAAAAAGTGTAGTGAGCGCAAAGAAATAAATGAACAAGCAGCTAGCACAAAGTGGCAAACCCTCCCATTCCACTGAATAAACACATATACAAAGGTGCACAGCTAATATATTAACAAAAAATTTTTGTGAACTAATATCCAATATCTAAATCATAAAGTCTAAAGGAAATTGCAGTGTCCAAGAATAATGTGAAAATCAATGGTGATCAGCGATGTGAAGTGACATCTGTGACAATCCTCCACCACTATGCACTCGCCAGAAGCAAGAAATAAATGGGCTCTGGGTAAATAAATGGGCTAATCGATCCAAATGTGCCACATCCTTAAATTAATAACACTGCTTGATACCTAATAAAGTACTCGGCCTAGACAAAAGATATCATACAACCCAGGAGTCTTCGGGAGGGTAGGACGGGCTTTCTCAACTAAGCATGCCCTCCTGTCTGCATGCCTGAACTAACAACAGATGGATTCCAGGAAGGAAATGGTGCATGAATCATTTGCCTTTACTCAAGATAGCCACAGCCTGAAATCCTAGATATAAGTGCTCATTCTAGTGGCCCTTTCTATATCGGACAAGGAAGTGGAGGATCATTGCCAGGAAAGAAATCTAAATAGTATAGAAGGAAATGGAGTGCCAAAAGAAGAATCAATGAGTTGGGTCAAGTGCACACATTTGGATCGATTACTGATTGGTGTACTGGAGGTCCATTTCCAGGAATGCCCATTTAGAGCCCATTTCACAGTGGAGGTCATTGAGGTATCTTTCTATTTCCTGCAGTGGATAAAACACATTGCTTGGAGGGATTTCTATACAGAGCCTGTTTATTTCTTGCTTCTGGTGAGTGCATAGTGGTGGAGGATTGTCACAGATGTCATCCCCACTACATATGACATATGTTCTAACAAGGGATTAGACCTTTGTGATATGTACATTGTATTATGTTCGGAGTGATTGGGAGGTTTTTTTTTTTGCAACAAATGATGTATATGCTTCTATATACACAAAAAAAAATAGCTCTCAAAATCTGGTGAATTGATGGGAGAAAATAAGTATATTTTACTACATGTAATGGGGTGGATTTACTAAATGAATGGGGTTGATTTACTAAAGGCACATGGACAGAGCACTTTGTAATTGAAGTTGCTCCAGAGCTTAGTAAATGAGGGGAGCTCTGCTAACTTACATAATCCAATCATGTGCAAGCAAAAATGCTGGTATTCTTTGTAAAGTGAAGCTTTACCTTATGTACTAAGCTCTGGAGCAACTTGCAACCTCTGTCAATTTTCTTTTAATTTTTTTGCCATCTGTATCCCCATTGGGAGATGTCAACTCTATTACTTTTCTGGGGACAACCCAAAATTGTAATTTTATTTTATTTTCACGTTCAATGATAATGGTAAACTGGACAAATAGAGAGGGTGAATCTCTCTAAAGGAGACACAGACAGCAATAAAAACTTGACAGGTGTTCTAATCCACCTCCACTCTATTCAAAAGTAAAAAAAAATTCCTTTAGTTATTCTTTAAGTAAATCAACTCCAATGATTTCCATATGTAGGTTTCTATCCATTATTGTTGAGAGACCTGATCCAAAAAGGCAGAAACTACTCAAAATTGGCTATTATATTTTTACATTACTTAAATACCGCATGCCTGTACCACTACTTAATTACCACATTTAATTATTTATTTCCTTCTGTTAATTGACTTTAACGCCTTTTCATGTGGTATTTACCAAGCGTTTTGCAACAAATACCACAAAACGGTATAGTGATTTGACAGTTTCAGGATTGCATGTGGTATTTAGGCAAAAGGTATCCGGACACCTAAATACTGCATGTGGTCTCCTTCTGTGAATGGAGCTCAATATCACTATCCAATGCCATTAGCATTGAGTTATATTTTGTCATGTTGTAGATCATATATCTACAATCATGTGGAAATGAAAGCGAACATCTTGCTATGAAATAGCTTATGCAAGTGGTCTTTTACAGTTTATTGGATCTTCATCAAGCTTTTATTGCTGCCTTCATCCACTTTTGGGAGATTCACCCTCACTTCTTTTGTGGTCAACAGATTAGAAAGTGAGATAAGTAATATGGAATGTAAAATGTGTCCTTTTGCTGATGAGCTACTGTTATTTGTTTCTAATTCTCGCATAGCCTTTCCAGCATTGCTAAAAGAATTGAATGCCTTTTCTGTGGTTAGTAACCTTATGGGTAGCCACCCTGGAGGTATTCCCGAGTGTTGCTCGGGGTAAAGTTTCAGTACCACAAGCGGTAACCCCGAGCTACACTCGGGCTTACCATGCGGCACTGCTCCGGATCTCTTTTTCACTTACCTTGTCCTGCGCTCCTGCGATGTCCCTCCTGCAGTGTCCCTGGCAATGTCCTCCGGCGGATACCGGCATCTGTCATCTGGGTTCCGTTCCCTGGGAGCGTCGGGACGTACAGGGGACGGAACAGAGGGAAATTTGAAAATGACAAAAAGAGACATTCACTAAATACACTAAAATCACATAGTAAAACATTACTGTATCAAACCATTTCACATACATTTTGTCCCTAGTGCTTTGTCCTGTGCCCTGCCTGCATTTTTACTGTTCTTTCTGCCTGGAAACTGTGAAACGTCCATGGCGTCCAAAAAGCGTCCATTTAGGTCAAAACGGTTTTAGACCAGCTAGAGAACAGCGATAGTAAATCAGAACCACTTGCGGAATTGAGTGATAATGATTCGTGGGGAAATTCGTCATCAGACACTGAAACCGATTTTGCGACTTTGCTCAGTGATGTGCGAACTTGGCGCTCTATTTCAAATTTCAGTGTTTTTGGTTTGATTATATTATTGAATTAAATTTATTATTATTATATTATAATTTTTTATGATTATTTATTAAATTATAATTTATGATTTCATGTTTCAAATTGTAACATACCGGGGATGTTTACTAGACTCTTGTTCCGACAGATTTCAGTGAGTTATTCCTAAAAATTACAGGCCTAAAAAAAAATACATATTTCCATGCAAAAAAATGTACTGCTTTGAGCACAGAAATATGGACATAATCAGACCACTAGGGAGGTTAATATAAATAAAACAGAGGCATTGAATGTATGTTTAGTAGAAGGGGAAGTAAGCGCCTTAAAGAAAGACTTTGCATTCCACTGGCGTGAAAAAGCCCTAAAATACCTAGGTGTTTATTTCGCTACGACTCCCGTAGATTTATTTATGCTAAACGACCAGCCACTGAACAAAAATGAAAACATAGGATAAGATTGTGGCATTCATGGTTTGCTAGGGTGGCCTTGTATAAAATGGATATTCTTCCAAGATTCTTTCGAATGGTACGTTCTGAACTTTTGAAATATGTTTTGGGCTAGTTCTAAATCAAATTTAAAATACAATGTACTTATAAGGAAGAAATAACAGGAGGACTGGGACTACCAGATTTAGCACTCTATCACAAAACAGTTCTTATGGCTAGACTCATGGACGGCATATATCATTTAAAGGATAAACAATGGACGACAATTAAAGCACTATTTTAAGTGTTCCCATTGGGAACTAGAGCAGGAAGTAAAGGGAAATCTCCCAAAAGGCATGTAAACAGCATTAAATAACCTGGAAGGTTTATAACCACACTCTCAAAAACTAATATAGAAAAATAAATATTTTCCATGGAATTTAACTTTAAAGTAGGAGCAAACTTCCTTTTTTGCTTCGTACCCACAGGTAAGCCTATAATAAGGCTAACCTGTGGGTACTGTAAATGTTCGTTTAGGATGAATTACACGTGAAACAGCTGGTGACATCACCAGCGCATGTGCATTGCGAGAGCTGTGCCACGGCCGTAACTCTCGCACGCATGCTCAGGAGTGACGTCATCGTTGATCGGCCATTTAAGCAGCCTGAGCCAGAGAACCCAGAAGGAAGATCAGGTGAAGATGAATTACCTTTCAGCAGTGACAGGGCGCCACCAGGAGTGATCCATTTCACAGGTAAGTCTGTCATAATGTGCTAATATACAGTGCATACTAACACATTTTGACTTTACCATTTTTTTTTTTTCAGACGTGGTTTACTAACGCTTCAAAGCAGTAGTAAACCATAAAATGGTATGTTTCGCAGGGAACTCCCAACCAGTCATTTTGCACCTCTTCATCTTCACCTGGTATTGTGTGAGGCAGAGGCACTAATTGGCTGCTTAAGAAGAGGCTGCAAGTCTACATTCATCATATAGTGAAATAACATATAAGTGGGAACAGCGCCAAATAAAAAATAAAATTAAATCCAAAAATCAAGCTGCTAAACCTCACCCTCTACTAGAGGTAGTAATAACAAAAATCAAAAGAAAAGGTAGCGCTAATTAAAAAATATATAAATACGCAAAACCACAAATATTCAATATATGATTAAAAAAATGTCTCTATTATTTTTCAATTCAAAAGCTTCATAATTGTTGAAAATCCACCACCAACTGTGTAAGACTCCATCACCAAGAGAATTAAATAAACTCACCAGAGCAAATTGCTAGTAAAATTATAAACTAGCAAATTGCATGTTGGCTCTCGGAGCAATGGTCTGTAGACTGATGACCAGCAACAGAAGATGTTTCTTATAATGTACGGATCTTCATATAACATATACGCTCAAAGGAAGAGAACAGAGCAGGAAATAGCGTGATACAGTAAAGAAAGTTTTTATTAAAAGCTTATTATCCAAACAACTCACATTTTTAAGTGTCACAAGCCAACACTAGCAAAGACCGCAAAAACACAAAAAAAAACACTTCAAAAGCCAGAGACGCTGGCAGCTTACGGAACATGGTGACGTCACTCCGAGGCTCCAACCTACGCGTTTTGTCACTCGACGTCTTCACGTTTTGCGGTCTATGCTAGTGTCGGCTTGTGACACTTAAAAATTTTAGTTTTTATATATTTTTTTATGAATATTTGCACAACTTCTTTGGTTTATATATCAAATATGTCACAGAAATATGTTTGTTTAATTAGCGCTACCTTTTCTTTTGATTTTTGTTACATTCATCATATAGCAAATGTGCTACCAAGTCCAAGTCAATAGTGTAATAGAATATGTTGTCATTGCAACATACTGTATGCATTACTGAAATACACAGGCAGAACTTCACCTGTCTCAATATCCATTGGTAGCAGTAATGCTTTGTTTACTGGTAATTATCATCCAGACTATCAGTAACTCCCTGTCCTCTGCTCTTTTTAGGATTTTGAGATGGATGTTGTTGCCATGGTGAATGATACTGTTGCTACTATGATCTCCTGTTATTATGAAGATCATCACTGTGAAGTTGGCTTGATAGTGGGTAAGTGTACATTCTTGGTGAGTTTCAAGTGCAATTCCTATAGGGGATATATAGCATAGTGGGTTTCTTTTCAGTGTAAAAATGCCACCCTTCTTTCCGGAACAAATAAAGCTGCAAAGCTACAAAGCTGCATATTACAAAACTAATAGTATAGTAATATATGACACCCATTTAAAAAAAAATGCAGATTACAGTGAAAACTGTGGACAATTTTGAGTTATGACCTACTATGAGTTGGTTATTATAACCTTTGATTAAAATACATCGTGATTAAACTTTTATTTACAACCTTGCCATTCCATGTTTGTATGGCTGTAAGGATAATTCACAAGGCTAAAAGGCATGAGATGACAATCGTTATTTAGAGCAAATATTAGTACGATAATAATAATACTAATGGTAACATTTGCTGTAAATAACAATCATTGTGGTAAATACTGTAGCACATGCATTATAAATTGAGCGCTTTCATTTCTTATACAAATTATTAATAGTGTCCAATATTAGACTACAGTGGGGCAAAAAAGTATTTAGTCAGCCACCAATTGTGCAAGTTCTCCCACTAATAAAGATGAAAGAGGCCTGTAATTGGCATCATAGGTAGACCTCAACTATGAGAGACAAAATGAGAAAAAAAAATCCAGACAATCACATTGGCTGATTTGGAAAGAATTTATTTGCAAATTATGGTGGAAAATAAGTATTTGGTCACCTACAAACAAGCAAGATTTCTGGCTCTCACAGACCTGTACCTTCTTCTTTAAGAGGCTCCTCTGTCCTGCACTCATTACCTGTATCAATGGCACCTGTTTGAACTTGTTATCGGTATAAAAGATACCTGTCCACAACCTCAAACAGTCACACTCCAAACTCCACTATGGTGAAGACCAAAGAGCTGTCGAAGGACACCAGAAACAAAATTGTAGACCTGCACCAGGCTGGGAAGACTGAATCTGCAATAGGCAAGCAGCTTGGTGTGAACAAATCCACTGTGGGAGCAATAATTAGAAAATGGAAGACATACAAGACCACTGATAATCTCCCTCGATCTGGGGCTCCACGCAAGATCTCACCCCGTGGGGTCAAAATGATCACAAGAATGGTGAGCAAAAATCCCAGGACCACACGGGGGGACCTAGTGAATGACTTGCAAGAGCTGGGACCAACGTAACAAAGGCTACCATCAGTAACACACTACGCCGCCAGGGACTCAGATCCTGCAGTGCCAGACGTGTCCCCCTGCTTAAGCCAGTACATGTCAGGGCCCGTCTGAAGTTTGCTAGAGAGCATTTGGATGATCCAGAAGAGGATTGGGAGAATGTCATATGGTCAGATGAAACCAAAATAGAACTGTTTGGTAGAAACACAACTCGTCGTATTTGGAGGAGAGAGAATGCTGAGTTGCATGCAAAGAACACCATACCTACTGTGAAGCATGGGGGTGGCAACATCATGCTTTGGGGCTGTTTCTCTGCAAAGGGACCAGGACGAATGATCCATGTACAGGACAGAATGAATGGGGCCATGTATCGTGAGATTTTGAGTGCAAACCTCCTTCCATCAGCAAGGGCATTGAAGATGAAATGTGGCTGGGTCTTCCAACATGACAATGATCCCAAACATACCACCCGGGCAACGAAGGAGTGGCTTCGTAAGAAGCATTTCAAGGTCCTGGAGTAGCCTAGCCAGTCTCCAGATCTCAACCCCATAGAAAAACCTTTGGAGAGAGTTGAAAGTCTGTGTTGCCCAGCGACAGCCCCAAAACATCACTGCTCTAGAGGAGATCTGCATGGAGGAATGGGCCAACATACCAGCAACAGTGTGTGCCAACCTTGTGAAGACTTACAGGAAACGTTTGACCTCTGTCATTGCCAACAAAGGATATATAACAAAGTATTGAGATGAACTTTTGATATTGACCAAATACTTATTTTCCACCATAATTTGCAAATAAATTCTTTCCAAATCAGCCAATGTGATTGTCTGGATTTTTTTTCTCATTTTGTCTCTCATAGTTGAGGTCTACCTATGATGCCAATTACAGGCCTCTCTCATCTTTTTAAGTGGGAGAACTTGCACAATTGGTGGCTGACTAAATACTTTTTTGCCCCACTGTATATACTGGCACGCTGACCCCATTCTAAGGAAAGTA